CGTTTCAAATAATAAACTTCGGCTGCAAGATAAGGTGTAGTAGTAAGTTTTGTTTGTTACTAACATTAATACATTATTTTATGTAAAAAATTAATATTGTGTTATTTGTTATCTAAGTTGTTTATAAAAATAAACATGAGACAGTTCCTATCTAACATGACCCAGTCAACACAGACCTCTGTACGATTCCCATTTTGATTTGTATGAAGATATTCGTTTGTTTGTTCGCTATACACTGCAATGCCGTTCGACCAATTGCTACGAAACTCGGCAGTTACGTTTACATGCCTGTAACTTAGATGACGTCATACATTCCACCCCAAATTATCTATTGAATTTTTGTAGATCACTTTTTGTCTACATTCCATTTGTTGATTTACATGTAGCGCCATGTATTGGCAAAAAATTTAACAAAACAATTAACTAAATATAATTCTTACAAAAAAGAATATAATTTTTTAAAATAAGTATTATATTCACTTAATTATTGCGATAGGTAACATATAGCACTTGCCTGTATGGAATGGAGAGTTTAAGTCTGTGAAAAGGCTATAAATATTAAATTTTACAAAACAACAACTCGGGTTTTTTCGTTTCTGAACGGGGTTCAAATCTAGGACAGATGGACGCGATTGGGACTGGAAGATAGCCGTAGAGCATATCGATAGGAACAAAAAAGTCAATGGAACCATGCCCGTACGGGCGACCCTTCGCGAGATATAGGCCCCCAAAATGTCTACAGGTGAACTTTTTGAGACCCTCAAAAATGGGGTAAAATTCAAAAGTGAAAATTTTCAGAACTAAATCTCGAAACCGCATTTTATGCCATTTCTGTTAGAACTGACTAGACACTCCCAAAACCTCCCTAAACACGAGGATCTCCACCTTTCGACCGCCAGTTCCGGGGAGCGCCATGGAGAGTCGCGCCTCGCTCTCTCTCTCAAGCCTATCGCGTGTTTAACAGGCAGCAAGCCGTATTCTAACGACACTTCTATCTGCAAAGACTAAAGAAAAGCCCGATTATTACCGCTAAATAGGCAACGTTTTCTCCGCCGCTCCCATCTAAATCGAGCGCGCTTCTATTTCGCTATCTCTAACACATTCTAACTGACGATGGAAAAGGCCAACAAAACAGATTGTACACTCATCTTCGGCAGAGTCTCCTCCTTTCGCTACCTGACGACGCCTAGCCAGTTTCCGATCTTGTTTAGACGAGGACAAGGTGAGGTCGCCGGTCACCACCGCCGCCACCTCCTCCTCCTCGGCTATGTCCTGGAGGTCGACGACGACGAAGATGGGATCGCCCGATGTTGTCTGAACAATCGCATATAATCCAGTTTTCGCGTACAAGAATCCTACGGTAACGCGCACCATACATATATATACACACACACAAGCTTCGCTGTTCGCTGGGCGTTCGTCTTTCCTCTGCCGTTTCTCTTCGTCGCCCTCGTGCACGGATACTGTACATCAGAAAGCATACGTATATATACGATCTAGACATGTCGGCAAAGACAAAAACGTCGGTCGATCGTTACATGTAAACCTTCAGCGACAAACATTCTGTTGTTAAAAATAACAGAAGTTCGTGTGAAAAATCCAACTGTGATTAGAGAGGTTGAGGCACAAGTTCAAACGTTAAACGTGTACGGGTAGCAGAAATACACGTTACACGTCTCAAGTCCATGTAAAAATTGTTGAGGCACCCGTTAATAACATCACGTGACAATTTCAAATAATTGGAAAAAAAGAATATTTCACATATATCTAATTTATAAATATATATATATATATATATATTTATATACTTTCTCTTATGCAAATTACTAATTAATTACTGTTTTTTTTTGTTTCTTTTCTCAATTTTATAAATAACTAGCTGCAAGGACCCGCTTCGCTGGGCAAAAAGTAACGATAGTGAAGATTAAGATAATTACATTATAGCCAATCTTACCCGTTTTCACAGAATGCAAGAATTAGGTCCCCCGTTTCCAGACTAATTAGAGAATTTTTACGTNTTATGAAATAGAAGGTTGTTTGACAGATTTTCATAGATGTGAAAATATAAATAATATATTTCTATAAACAAATTTCAAAGCACTGTTTCATATCATTAAAATATAATTTAATTGAAATTATAAAAGTTATGTACGTATCACAACAGCAAATCCATTCTCTATTGAGTTCCTATTTTTGTTTTCATTTATATACAGGGCTGTGGAATTTTGGTGTTTTAGCCGGAGTCGGAGTCGGAGTCGGATTGGTAAGGAAAAGTCGGAGTCGGAGTTGGAGTCGGTAGATTTTTACGCGACTCCACAGCCCTGATAAAAAGAATATAACTTTAAAATATATATATATTATATTCACTTAATAACGTTTTGTTAAATCATTTTATTAAATTAAAAACATGAATCCGATATTTAAACAAAATACAAATTTATATTTTGAATCAAAAAAACACAACACCTTAATTTGCTGAGAAAAAAAAACATTAAATTTTTTTCTCAGCAAATTAAGGTGTGTGTTTTTTTTATTTATATACTATTGCTGAGTGTGTGTACATCAATTTATATTTTGATTTTAAAATTAATGCTGGTGGCGCATAGTGACTTTACTTTATAATTAAAGATGCAGGACACAAAGAGTCCTTTAAGGCTTATCGGCGGCCGAGTGGACTCCGTCTACGCTTGATAGTGATGACCAGACCCTTAACACCGGGGTTCGCACGTCACTCGGAGGAGCTGGCAGCGGGAGTTTTTTCCGGGTTTTCCTCCTTTCCAATGACGCCTGAATAGGGGCCAGCTTCCTTTCGAAGTCCTCCAGGAAGGCATTCTGTCTCCCTTACTTGCGGGGGTCGTCTCCTATGAGGCCACATTTGGTTGCTTAGTGACCTTTCTTCTATCTTTTTAGGACTGGTCGTCTTCGATAAAATCGCTGTTTGGTCGCTGTGCGACCAATCACTTTGTTTCTTTTGGAGTGACAAGCGAAGCATAACACTCCACTATCGTCAATGAGAAACAAAGAGCCCTTTGTCGTCTTTCGTCGGCGTCTTCTGTCTTCATTCAAGTGGGTTTTAAATAAGCGGTACACAGAAAAGCCTCTCGTACATTCCTGAAGTATACTTACAGAATAAACAGAACGGTGTTTTAAATGTTTCACTTTTTAGTGTTTATTGAAACAGAACGGTGTTTTAAATAGTTATTTACACTGGTTCGCGTAAATTGGTGGCGGGGCAGTGTCTTTGATGACCGTCCACACTGTTTGATGTTGATTGGAAACAAACTGATAGTCTAAAATGGATAAGAGTGTATGTGATTTAACGATTTTACCATGGAATATACTGCTTGAGACCATGTTAATGTTAATATATAATTTAAGATATATATTGTTATATATGATTCTTATGATGTCGGGCTATCTTTCTATAAGAAAATGGATAGTTTTTAACATCCAATTGATGTACATACTTTTAAACTTTAATAAAATCTTTACTAAAGATTACCGTGGAGGGGAGCTTAACAATAAGGCTATAGGCAATTTTTGAAATCCCGTTTTCCGCGGGATGTTTTATTCAACAAAAAATAGTTAAGTTAATGTAGTGGCGAAATCTAACGAGTCACGTTATTGGTAATTTTCTTTTGACGGTTGACTATTTCATAACTGTAACAATGAAAAACGAAGATGGCATAACTACGCGGTAAGTCACGAACACCAACGAATAAAATGGAAAGTTTGGTTAGAAATAATACTTTTTCTTGCCATATATCTAATAATTAGCAGATCGCATCGTCTCTCTAAATGTCTTTTGTATTTCTGTGTTGATAGCCAGACACGTGTTCCGCAGCCATCTTGTTTCTTCTCGCGCGCGTGGGATTGTGGAAATTCTCTTATGACTGGAACTAGTTTCAAAAACTCTTTTGAGTCGATCGTGATTGAACCTCGTTTCAATCGAGATCGAAACGATCGAGAGAAGTCGCACCTTTTTTGGTCTGGTTTTTGTGAAATTTGATTGGTTGGTAGATTACCGTTTGATATTCGGCTGTGAATGGTACAGTTTCGTAGAACTAACAATAGGAAACAATATATCTGAAAAAATTTAAGATATAATTTCAATTGGTGTCTACTTGACCAATGAATTTGTGCCATTTCGTATAACCCGAGTATCGTGATAAACGTGACTGTAGGCTGAAGTAACCAAACTCTTTATATGGTTTTCGTTTTAATGTTTTATATTATAGTGTTTAATTTATATAACAACAAAGGTTATCTTACGTAAGAGTTTATCACACCGAGTTACCATTTTAAAATTCTTTATTCCTTTACCGTATACAATTTAAAGAATTTTTAAAATGTGTCAGAGTGGGCACTCGATGTGATAAACTCTTACGTAAGATAACCTTTATACATATAAATCAAATACTATAATGTAATATAATAGATGGATTGGAAGTACGAAATAATCAATAATCTTAATCTTTGCTGTTGTTAGTTTTTGCCCGGGCAACGCCGGGCTCATCTAGTTTTATTATAAAATAACATAACAAATGAAGATGAAGTCGATATTTCTACTTGCTGCTGCTTATTATCCACACCCCGGAACACCCCCTTTTAAAATTGCATTAATTTTTTTTAATTGTTCCTTAGTCGGTTTATTATTTTCAAGTCAATGGCGGTCTAAACAAAAGTATGGGTTTCCTGTTTAAATGGATAACACGTTATCATTGTCTCGAGTGTTATCCTCGAAACCTGCTGTGGTTTGTTTAGGAAATTTATTTTTCCTGGAGTGCCTTAATCTAAACATATGTCCAAAATTATTCCATGGAGTTGTCTCAGGAAAGAGTCCATGGAGTTAGCAGTCAACTCCTACATTTAACAAACTTCTACAATATATGAGTTTAAAAATTCTGGTTTACAATAAACAAAACAGACAAATTTTTTGGATAGGCCCCTTACAAGCAGGTACAATAAAACATCATTAAACATTGTTAAATTAAGTATTATTTCGCAAAAGTATTGTTTTCGTTCGGTTAATTTGCCAGATGTTAATTAATATGTCTTCCAAAATTACTCCTTTGAAGATACTATCATTGAAAACGCTTTATACATCCAAAGAAATTACCATAATGGAGAACTACGGCTATAAATATAGAAAATATATCGATTTTAAGGGAGGATTTCTTTTATTAATGCTGGATAGAACTGGGCGCGAAGTAACTGTAAGAATTAGGAATAAAGTTAGTGACGGAGAAAGATTATTTTGGCCACTTCTGTCTCATCCAAATATTTTGATATTGATACAAGCGCTAAATATCTCAAAGGAGATGTACGCCTTCATCATGCCAGCGTGCCTGTGTACATTAGAAGAGAGGTTAAAGATGTCTAGTATATGTAAAAAGTCATGGGGATATTTATTATGTAAAAAATGGATCAGAGAAATCTTGGACGCATTATCTTATTTACATGATAACAAGTTATATCTTGTCAATTTGCAAATAGAAACCATCATGTTGTCTAGTTATCTGAATGCCATGATATCAGATTTTACTTCATTGACAGATATGGAGTACATCGTTGATCCTCTTCAGTTGAAATTATCAAATTATGAATTTCGAGACATTATTACCAAAACTGGTACATATTCAACTGCCAAACTAGATCTATGGGAATTTGGGATATTTGCATTGCAAGTGATAACTCGAGGAGGAATTAAAGAACTAATAAAGCGGTACAATTATGAAAATGTTATTTGTGATCAAGAAAGACTGCGTACAATACTACCCAATATACTAGCCGATCCAATCGACTTTAAGAAAATCTTGAAACATTTTCATCCTTATTCGAGTGACGTTACCATTCAAGACGCTGCTTTGTGCCTTGAATTTTTATCATGTTTCCTCATAGAAGATAATCAAACATCCATTACACTTCTAGATGGTTTGGAGCATGTATATCTTCAACCGTGGAAAGACTCAGAACTAAGAACTAAATATGAGACTTGCAGATGTTATAACAGTAAGTTTCATTGTTTGCTATGAAAATAATGAATTTCATTAATAAATAATGGTTATTGAGCAGGTACATTTGCCAAAAACTTGCCAGTTAATAATAAAGATCTTACAATTCATGAATCCTATTTAGATTCAAGAGTGTATTGCTGTTACTGTTTAAGTAAGTGAGAAAATTCATGTATTTAAAATTATACAGGGTGTCTCATAAGTCTTGAGTGTCCGCCGGTGGTCGGATATAAAACTACCAATTTATCCATTCACTGGAACACTGGTCGTGGGATCGCGCTTCGTGCAGTTTTCCGAATACTCTTCACTGTCTAAAGCCTATGTGTTACTCCAATTCTCCATCCTTAAGTCTAGAATCATAGGAGTTATATTGATCTCTGTTTATGATTTTGCAGGTAAAGCATTGCATTGAATAATTATATAAGGAGGAATGAATTCGAGTTATTTATGCAAAGAATTTTTAGTCTGCATGAAATTGTCGAAGAGTTTAACAGGCTGCATCTGAACTTACCACACGCAACAGTATGGATGCAGCCTGTTAAACTCTTCGGTAACTTCAAGCCGACTGAATGTCCCCAGCTTTAAATTGAATTCGTTCTTCATTCAGTGCCACGCTTCACCTGTAAAAGAATAAACAAGGATTAATATAACTCCGATGGCTCCAGACTTATGGGACTTATTTACAATAATATAATATAAATAACTTAATTAAAATATATATTGTTCTTTTAGTAGATCTAAAATTATAAATGGAATCGTGTAATTTTCTTAATTTTTTTTTCTAAACTCGATTAGGTTCTAAGTACAGAAGATATCATACAGCACCATGTTACAGAGGTTCAATGAAAGACAGGATTTGTGCTGTTCAGCATGGAAATAATTTTCAACAGTCCACGAACCCGTTAGAAAAAGATGGAAGTAAAGTAAATGCCGGACTTTGGGAGCGCATTAAAAGTTTCTTTCTAACTCATGTTTTAACAAATTGTGCCCATTTTGAATACAGTGACTCTTGTAGTAACTCGACAGTTATCGATAAATAAATTAAATTTCGGTATTGTTCAGTTTATTTAATATTGTTTAACTGATTAACTGATTGTGCATTATAATCTACTCAGGAGGCACTCCCTCGGTAGATTGTCCATGTGTTGATTTGCTCAACACATTCTATCAACCCACTCAATTAAATACAGTAGATCCCCCTATAAGACGGTAGATAC